GCCTGCCGAGAAATCCGGTAAGGGAATTATACCAATTTAATGCATTTGCTGCTGCCAAAATTGTGTACAAAAGTGCCTCATAACTAAAGAAATCGACTACCAACGAAATTATAAAGTTTTTTTTTGTTAGAAATGTGCAATATTTAAAGAAAGTGGTTTGTGTGTGTGGCCACGCGGTCGCAGCTCCAATACCAGCTAAAAGTGCACTCTTTTGCTTAAAATATATTCAAAGTGCACAGCTTTTGTTGCATTAAGCAATTAGAAGAAGTGTGCATCGTGTAATTTTTCTATGATTATGTTCCAATTAACTATTTTGGTTTTTGTTTATCAACTGCTTATAATACACCTAACCTCATTGTGCACCAGTGCTATGCGACATATTTACATACATATCCCACTAATTGTACCTACGTGTTTTAACAGCCAAACCCGGCGACAAGAAGCCAGAGAAGAAGCCAGCGGCAACTTCAGCAGCTGGCTCTGCTTCAACTGCAAAACCTGCTGCTGCCAAGAAAGCTGCACCCGCCAAGAAGCCCGCTGCTGCCCCAGCTGGTGGTGTCAAGAAGCCTGTAGCTAAGAAAGCAGCGCCTGCCAAAAAGCTCGCCACCAAGCTCAAGCCAAAGGCTAAGGATGCTAAGAAGAAGGCTGCCGCTGGCAAGAAGCCACAGTCACTCTTGGCTAAATTGTCGGCGAAGGCTCGCGCCGCTGCTAAGGGCAAGAAAGTCGCCGCTAAGCCCGGTGCTAAAGTGCAAAAAGGTACAGCAAAGGCTAAGGCTGTTGCTTTATTGAAGGCCAAGAAAGTGCAAACTAAGGTAAAATATTTTCTTTGTATACATACCGCTTGGATTAGAGATTATGTATGCTTTTTGGAATATTTTCAGATTGTGAAGGGTGCTTTTGGTACACGCACACGCAAGGTGCGCACCAACGTGCACTTCCGTCGGCCAAAGACTCTGGTGTTGCCACGCCGTCCTAAATACCCAAGGAAGTCGGTGCCAACCAGAAATCGGTATGTATGAAAATTGTATAAATGGAGAATGTAACATTTTTAACAAAAAATTTTACTGCGTTTTTTGAACAGCATGGATGCTTACAACATCATCAAATACCCATTGACTACTGAAGCAGCCATGAAGAAGATTGAAGATAATAACACGTTAGTGTTCTTGACCCACTTGCGTGCTAACAAGAACCACGTACGTGCTGCTGTGCGTAAACTTTATGACATTAAGGTAGCCAAGGTCAATATTTTGGTGAGACCTGATGGTCAAAAGAAGGCCTACGTTCGCTTGGCGCGCGACTACGATGCACTGGATAT